ACAGGCCTGTTAGTTTGACATCTGTAGTATGCAAAGTCTTGGAAAAAATTTTGAAGGAGAAAGTAGTTAAGGACATTGAGGTCAATGGTAATTGGGACAAAATACAACATGGTTTTACAAAAGGTAGATCGTGCCAAACCAACCTGATCTCCTCCTTTGAGAAGGTAACAGAATTTTTAGACAAAGGAAACGTAGTGGATCTAATGTACCTCGATTTCAGTAAGGCGTTTGATACCGTGCCACATGGGGAATTATTAGCTAAACTGGAAAAGATGGGGATCAATATGAAAATTGAAAGGTGGATAAGGAACTGGTTAAAAGGGAGATTACAGCGGGTCCTACTGAAAGGTGAACTGTCAGGCTGGAAGGAGGTAACTAGTGGAGTTCCTCAGGGATTGGTTTTGGGACCAATCTTATTTAATCTTTTTATTACTGACCTTGGCACAAAAACTGGGAATGTGCTAATAAAGTCTGCGGATGACATGAAGCTGGGAGGTATTGCCAATACAGAAAGGGACCAGGATATCATAGAGGAAGATCTGGATGACCTTGTAAACTGGAGTAATAGTAATAGGATGAAATTTAATAGTGAGAAGTGCAAGGTCATGCATTTAGGGCTTAATAACAAGAATTTTTGATATAAACTGGGGATGCTTCACTTGGAAGTAACAGAGGAGAAGGACCTTGGAATATTGGTTGATCATATGATGACGATGAGCCGCCAATGTGATATGGCTGTGGAAAAAAAGCTAATGCGGTCTTGGGATGCATCAGGCGAGGTATTTCCAGTAGAGATAAGGAGGTGTTAGTACCATTATACAAGGCACTGGTGAGACCTCACCTGGAATACTGTGTGCAGTTCTTGTCTCCCATGTTTAAGAAGGATGAATTCAAACTGGAACAGGTACAGAGAATGGCTACTAGGATGATCCGAGGAATGGAAAACTTGTCTTATGAAAGGAGACTCAAGGAGCTTGGCTTGTTTAGCCTAACCAAAAGAAGGCTGAGGGGAGATATGATTGCTCTCTATAAATATATCAGAGGGATAAATACCACGGAGGGAGAAGAATTATTTAAGCTCAGTACCAATGTGGACACAAGAGCCAATGTGTATAAACTGGCCATTAGGAAGTTTAGACTTGAAATTAGACAAAGGTTTCTGACCATCAGAGGAATGAAGTTCTGGAACAGCCTTCCAAGGGACGCAGTAAGGGCAAAAGACATATCTGGCTTCAAGACTAAGCTTGATAAATTCATGGAGGGGATGATATGATGGGATAACCTAATTTTGGCAATTAACTGATCTTCGACTATTAGCGGTATCTATGCCCAATGGCCTGTGATGGGATGTTAGATGGGATGGGATCTGAGTTACTACAGAGAATTCTTTCCTGGGTGTCTGGCTGGTGAGTCTTGCCCACATGCTCAGGGTTTAGCTGATCGCCACATCTGGGGTCGGGAAGGAATTTTCCTCCAGGGCAGATTGGCAGAGGCCAGGGCCGGCTCCAGGCACCAGCTTTCCAAGCAGGTGCTTGGGGCGGCAGTCCAAATGGGGCGGCAGCCCGTGTCCCGCGGCGACAATTCGGCGGCAGCTCCGGTGCTGTTGCGGCGGCAGCAATTCAGCAGCGACTGCTTGGGGCGGCCAAATTGGTAGAGCCGCCCCCGGCAGAGGCCCTGGGGGTTTTTCGCCTTCCTCTGCAGCGTGGGGCACGGGTCACTTGCTGGAGGATTCTCTGCACCTTGAAGTCTTTAAACCACGATTTGAGGACTTCAGTAGCTCAGACATAGGTTAGGGGTTTGTTACAGGAGTGGGTGGGTGAGATTCTGTGGCTTGCATTGTACAGGAGGTCTGACGAGACAATCAGGAGGTCAGACCCTTCTGACCTTAAAGTCTATGATTCTATGATTCCTTTGCTACCTCCAGAGCTGGGCCTGGGCCTCTTGGTGGAAGCAGAGCTCGGCAGGAGTCCAGCCTGGTGATGAGGGGAAGCAGCAATGTTTGACTGCATGCTGAAGCAGGAGACGTTCAATGTCTGGGGTGGAGACAACTGTTCATAGAACCAAACTATTGGAAAACAAACAACATGAGAACCAACCTGCCACCCACCATCCCTGCTGCCTCCCACATACAAATGGAGGGGGTGCCCAGCCCCACTCTCCATCATCCTGCTGTCACAATCGCAGCTACCTGCCCGGCAGCTTATTATTTCATTCTGCTTTATACTTTTTTTGCAGTGATTTCCTCCTTGTTGGCACTGGGGGCAATAACTAGACACACCTCCATATTGCAATAATAATAGCTAGCTCTTACACCTGTAGATCTCAAAGACCTTTACAAGGTGGTCAGTATAGTTATTGTACAGATGGGGAAACTGAGGCACGGGGCAGCAAAGTGAATTGTCCAAGGTCACTCAACAGGCCAGTGGCAGAGTCAGAAATAGAACACACATTTCCTGAGTCCCAATCTAGTGCACTATCCCCTAGGGCACATGGTCTCCCTTACAACAGTTGATGGTGACGATGAGGATGACGACACCTCCTCCTAAATTGTCTGATGTTTTCAGCAGCTTGTGGCAGACTTTATAAGACATGGACCAGGCAAGGGCCTGGTCCTTCCCAGGAGCGTCTCAAAGGGAAACCTAGAAAGTCTGGCAAAAGGGGGTCAGTGGCAGAACCCCCTAGAACCCAGTAGTGAAGGTGGGACAGGGTGTGCAAATGGCAGGGGCAGTGAGGATGTGACACAGAGGCAAGAGCAGGTGAAAGGGGAGCACCATGAGCAAAGGATGGAGAGGCTGAAGAGTAGGAAGTATTTCCTGTGGGTGAGGCTGTGGCCCAGCCCCCTTGAACAGAAGAGGTGGAACCCTGTGACTGTGGCCCATGTGGCCTGCTAGGCCCCCAAGCAATGCAGCATGTTAATATTGGAAACAGGCTTTTAAAATATTTAAAATATTTTGAATATTTCATATTTTAAAGTCCTGTTTAATGAGCTGGATAATGTAGGCCCCTCCCCCTCTGCACCCTGGGGTGTCTGTGCTGGTTTGTGGTCTGAACTCAACAGCATCCGCTTGCTCCAGGGGCAGCCCAGCAAGCAGCTGATGCTCACCTATAAGGGTACTCTGAGCTCAGCCAGGGGAAGAGCATGTACAGGGGCTGGAGCAGAAGGGGAGGGGGGGTCAGCCCTGGCCAGCAGCTGCCACAGCTCCCCTGCTCTCCTACATACTGTTGTCTCTCATAGCCTTGGCTGCAGCCTGCCACAAAGCATTGGCCCAGCACGCAGCTTTCCTGCTGCCCGCAGGATAATCTGCTCATCTGCTCGCTGGTAGAGCAGGTAAATTGGAGACAGCTGTGACGCAATTGATCCTATTCTTCTCTCTTGTGAGTAGCTGTGAACCAGGCTCGGGCCATCTGCTCTCGGTGTATGGATGGGACGGGGCGTGTGTGTGCGCGCACGCATTGCGTTGCAATGAAGGGTATATCTGTGTACACTGGCATTTGTGTCCATACGTGCACAAGGGTGTGTGCACACACAACTAAGTGGTCACACAACCAGATTCTCCTCCCTCACTTTGGGGGGGGCCTATCTACCCTCCCCTGTCCCAGACGGCTGCCCAAGGAGAGTCTGAAATCAAACTCAGATGGCTAATGCTAACTGCAGTGACCAAGCCTGTCCACCCTGGAGGGTAGCAATGTGGCTTAGATGCTTCCCAGCCTCAACCTTCCCTCTACGAGCTTCCCCGGGGACTCTTTTTCCTCCTGATTTAGTGCTTTACACATACATCTCACAGAACGTGCCTCCGGGTAGCGCTGTGCATTTGTAGCTGCAGCCCTGGGTGCACGTCTCCATCTGTGAATAAGGCTCTGCATGTCAGTGCATATGTGTGTCTCTGAATGACTTTCTGTATGCCTTTAGCCATGACACACATGATTATGTGTGTATGTAGGCCCCCATATGTGCTTGTGTGATCTGCACATTAACAATTAAATTTTGCCATGATGGGTGCTATAGAAGAACCATCGGCAGATGGGTCTTTGCATGTACCGGTCTCTGTGAGAGTATGGTGCACATGCCTGCATCTTGCTGCCTGTACAGCCATGTGTCTGCATATGCATAAGTGAGATGCCATAGGACTTTGAGGTTCTAATCAAAGTGCTAACCAGTAACTTCAGGTAAAACCAATTTAATGGACCCAGATATTTTCAAATCACTCAGTGATATTAGTAGGTCCCTCTGAGGGTCTCCCCTCAGCCAGTTCCTCCTCTTCTTTCCTCTCTTTTAGACACACATACTCACTCTCTGATCCAGAGTAACAGCTCTGAGATTTTCCTGAATTAACCCATTGTTCCTGTACACCTAGCAGAACAGGGAGGCCTGTTTCTCTCTCTCTCTCTCTCTCTCTCACACACACACGCTCTTCCCCCCCCCCACCCCCAGCGGCATGCTGGCCACTAAAACCCAACACCGCTGGCTCCTCTAGTACCAGCTAAGGGACAAACACTGGGAGGGGATTTCTGAGTTCTAGCAGGGAGCTGAACTGGCCAGCCCAGCTTTAGTATGCAGGGCCTGTTCAACCACAAAGCTTCTGTGGCTTTAGCATATTAAAATTCCTGACAGGCTGGGAAAAGCACAAAGTTCCTGGTGATTTTCCCCCTGAGAGGTTTCTGCTGTTGGCGGCATGTGGCACACCCATCACCCTGACGTGCCTGACTCTCAGGAGATGCTGCGAGCATCGTTCGCTCTGAAACACAGCGGGGGTGGGGGGATGCTTTGCTAAGCATGGAGCCTAGCTTAAACCCCCAGTGTTTTTACTCTTGATTTTGTTTAATGACTGAGCCCAGCTCTCATAATCCTACATGAGGCTCGGGCATGTTTTTCTGGGGGCGGGATGACTTGGGGCATTGGGAATGGGGCAAGGAGCCCTTCACCACCACGTCAAATCCATCCCAACATAGGTGCTGGAACAATTTTTAAAATTGTTAAAATTTAAGCTGAAAGTTATTACCATGTATTTGGTTGTTAGTACTACTTCAAGCCAGGGGTTCAAGCCAACCCCTAGTTCCAGCATCTGTGCATCCCAGGCTGACCGTGACCACAAGTTCTTCCTCTCTGATAGCTGTTTGGTGGCCCCTAGGAGAGAGGAATTGGTGGCTTTCAGTTCAACCCCCATTGGGCAAGTGTCCATGATCACATGATCTGCACAATTACTAAATTTCGTTCTTCCTGACAGCCTGAGCAGAGGGGCTGAGGACTCTAGGGCAGGGCTGAGCCACAGTGATGGTGCAAAGCGAAGTGTGCCCTGCCCTTGTCCATATTGAACCTGTTCTGGGGCTAAACAGGAGGATCAGGTCTGGACCTAGCACTTTTCACCAGTGTTAAATATATACCCACACTTTGCTTTAGTACAGTTTTCTGGGCTGCTGCCTGCCAGTGCCGTGCTGTGTCTTGGGGGCAGGGAGATGCAAGATGTATCCATTGGTGATCCTACTATACACTAGCCTTGGCACATCAGTACTCACCTTGCATAGGGAGGCTGCCCCAAAGGGACCCAGGCACCAATGTATCCATACAGGAAATCTCACAGCTTCTCTATTCTCCTGTCGAACCTCCACCCCCACCCACAGAGAAATCTTTTGGACCCACCTATGTCCTACCACCTCTTTTCTTGCTTCCTCCAACTCCTCCCACCACAGCCTTCACCTCTGCATGTTCTTCCCGTGCTTCCCCAGCCACACGCCCATCGCACCATTCCAGTTACTAAGGATCATTGTTCACAATTAGGAGAGATGAAGGGCAAGACCCTGGCTTGCTCTCTGCTCCTGGTCCTGTGGAAAGGGAGGCTCACACGCACACGGCTCTCAGGCACAGCAGCGTCTTTGCCAAACAGCCGTATTTAGCTTCAGTTTTCTATATGCAATATCCAAGCAGAGAACTCTCCATTCCCCTCTGGTGGCCACCAGTTCTACTGCGGCCTCCTAAAAGGCTCGGAACTTTCTTTCCTTTCTCCTGGAATATACTGGGGCAGGTGTGTCTTATGAGCGTGGAAAGTGAGGGATATACCAGGCCGGCCACAGCCACACAGAGCGAGGCCAGGTGCTGAGTAGGCTTCCTGAGCCTAGGTTCTACCACTGGACCTGAATCCTGACCTGCAACTCAGTCAGTTGTTCCATTCTCGGGTTCCCCAAACACACACATAGTTCTGCTGATGCTCCTCGCTCCTGACCTGCAGCACCCCTTGCTATTTCAGCTATGCCAGGTTGTACTGGGGAGAGGGGGAGAGATTTGTATGGACACACATGTGAGACCAAAAGCAAATCTGAAGCCCAGCCTGGGCAGCACTCTGGGGGAGAGTCTATTGATTGCAGGTGAGTGGCCTGCCTGAATTGTGACCTCTCTGTGCCCCCTTCATAGGACTCAGCACCCACCAGTCTGGCAGGCTGTTCCCGCTTGGCCTGTTGCAGACAGTGGGGAGCTGCTGGGGTGAGGTCTCCAGGACGCCTGGTTTGCATTCTGAAAGAAAGTGTGATGTGTCTTCCCTCCCTTTGCCCAAGGCCAGGCCCTCGTGCCTCCCAGCAGCAGTGATTGTGTCACAGTTACTTCAGCAAGAGAGCTGGTCTCAGCATCAACAGCCCTATTGCATGCTAGTGGGTCACTGTCAAATCTAGAACAAGCAACACTCCATCAAGGCCAGCTCAGCACAGCCAGGGAGAGGTGATTCCCCAGCAGGGACCGGCACGGCACAACACCTACTAGAGCATCTCAAGTGGAAGGCAGGGCCAGTTCAATGCAACTCCTACCAGCTGTATAAAAGAAACTCCTCTGCTCTCTCTGAAACTGGTGCCCTCTTAAGCAGAGATGCTTTCATCATCTAAGGACTTGCCTGGACATCCCAGCCTCCCCGCCCCCAGCAGGGTGAGGGTGGGGAGGGTCCACCTCCCAATCCTGCACTGATTGGGTTTAGTCTAACCCCAGCAAGGAGATGGGTGAGTCTGTGCTGCAGCCCCTCCAGATGTAGAGGTGGGATGGGAAGCAGTGAATGAGGAAAGGCAGGCAGCCCCCAGAAAAGCCAGGGGACGCTCCTCTCTCCAAGTGGCTTGGCAGGGCTGTGACTGAGACCACTCCTGGCCCCATGGCACTGCTGTTCCAGACAGTGCTAACCCACCGGCACGGGGGAGCTGCTGGAAAGGGTGGGCATCACTTTCCATACAGATTTTTCCTGGCCTCCACTTGCCAAACACAGAGCCTACAACCAGGCTGCTGTAACAAACACCACCAGAGGGAGAGACAGACACACCCCAGCTCACTACACCGAACACGCAGCACACCACTGCAGGAATACATGCATGTGCCAGGGCTCGAATGTTCAGAGGGGCTCAGCCCCCATCCGGGCAGCCAGACTTTCAGAATTGCCCAGCTGCCATTTAAGCACCGTAATCAGAAGAGGTCGGCACATTGCACACTGAGCTCTTTTGGAAATCTGCCCATTGGTGTCACAGGGGCAGCAGCTGGGGGCTGAGCACTTACAAGAATCTGGCCCATATTTAGGTGCCTAAATGGGAGCTGAGTTCTTTGGACACTCCAGCCCCACTGGTGGGTGCTCAGAGCTTGGAAATCTAGCCCTGCTTTCTTTGGAAATGTGGCCTCACAGGTGTTGCTACACTAGGTTTATTTGTCTAGAATTTCCCGCCATTGGTCCCCCCCCCCACACACACACACACACAACGGCAGACATGGGACTGATGGGCGCCAGAATTGTACACACTGTGTCCTGTGGACCTGGAGTTAGATGATGTGGTGGTAGAAATGCCAGCACCCTGTGTAACTTGGTGCGGCCACTGGTGGAGCTAAACTGCTAGTAGCAGCAGCGGGAAATATAGCCATTGCCAGGGGCAAAGCCTTTCCCAGTCCTGGGAGCTGATGGTGTAACCTCGCCAGGGTTCTCCAGCTCTGGAAGGTGCAGCTTTCCAGGACCTCCCTACGCACTCGTACCCAGCCCCCTCCCACAGCAGGCTACTGTCCCCACTCTTCCTGGCTTTACACACCCTATGTCAAAGCCACCCTCCTTCCAGCTGAGGGAGATGGGGCTGTTTGGAACTGTTTGGTGCTGGAGCTATAGACCCGGGGTTTCCCCTGGGTGGGTGGAGCTCAAGGCTCTATCTCTACCCAGCTGGGGAAGGAGATACTGGGGTGGGGGAGTACAGAGAGCTGTCCCCACCACCTGGGCCTGCATGCTCCCATTGTCCTCTTTATATGTGAGTTGTTTTTACACCTGACAGTGCTATGGGTGGGCTGCATTGCTCCAGTACACCAGCTACAAGCAGGGAGGAGTGACCTTTCATGTGCCAGGAGTGCCCAGCACACGGACCTGAACTCTGCTCTTCCTTGTCCTTTGTTCATGGCCCTGATCTCCCAACACCTGCCACTACTACCAGGAAGGGCTCTAGGCTAATTCAGTGTTGCCAACTCTTGTGATTTTTTTGCAAGTGAGAGGATTTTTGCCACGGCTGGATCCCATTGTGTGGTGGTGAGGGAAGCTCCAGCCCACTTGGGAATTTCACCCTTGCCTGTGGGAAACCCTTTCTTATTGGTCCCCTGCCCCACTGACCCACCTCCTGGGGAAGAGCATCCTATCGGTGCAGCTGCAGGAAGAGCTCACTGCTTCCCCCCACCGCACCTCACAAGAGCCCACATCAGTCTCAATGGAGAGGAGAAGGGAGCAGAAAGATCCCAGCAGCTCAAGGAGGCTCTGCTCCCCTCTTCTCTGCCTCACTGCCGTACCCAGCCTGGAAGTGGGAGAAACACCTAGCTGCAGCCAACCCCTGTCACACCAGGGAGAGAGAATGAAGAACCCCACAAGCTGCAGGAGGGGTAGAGGTAAGGCTGGGGTTGCGGACCTGAGCTGGGGGTTGGGGAGACAACCAGAACTGATGCAGGGACTGAAGGGACAGGATTGATTCGGAGGCTGGGTGGACAGAATAAATTGTGGGGCAGAGGATAGGCAGGCGTGGGAGTGAGAGTGTCTGCACAGGGGGCCAGAAATCACCTTGCCCAGTAAATTTGGGATAGTGGCCATTGCTAATTGTGAATTCAAAAATCAAATGACAGGCCAAAAACAATACAATTTAAAAAAAAATCAGTTTGGGGCCAATCTCATTATTTTGTGGGCCTGACTCCTGATTTCTGAACCTTTGGGGTTGGCATTCCTTCTCCTTTGACCTCTGAACACTGTCCATGATCACTTCAGGCCCACGCTGTCCCCAGGATGCCATGCAATGACCAGTGGTAATTGTAGCAGGATGCTCCAAGCCATTCTTGGCCCTGGGATATGGACAGTGCAAATTTTAAAAGCAAAATTCCCCTCCTCACCCCGGATTCCCACTGCCTCATAGGAGGGGGATTAAAGGCAGTGAAGCACCCATGAAAGGAGGCAGAGGTGGGTGGAAACACCTGCACCCACCTCTCCTGGTTGGCACAGCTACCCTGCAGACAGAGTGCAGGCAGAAAGCCAGCCTGGCAATCCAGGAGATTCAGAGATCAGTGCAATGAATTAACCTGAATGGTATAAGTGAATTACCCTCAAACAGAGCAACAAGTGTGGCTGGACACCCCAAAGCCCCTGGGAGGGAGTCCCCGAGCTAGGCATTCTCTTAACAAGTTTGATGCTACTGACTTGCTTTTAAAGCTCCATAATGGGAGTGCACAGCTGTATGCTCCGATCATGGCTGATCTCACAAACTAAGCAGGTTGCATCTAGTCAATAGAAAACGCAAGCTGCTACAGTGATTGATGTAGGGGATATTCCGCTCTCTGAATCTGCTGAGCCCGATGTTCCAGCCTGGTGCTAAGGGATGCTGTGCAGCTGGAGGTGCTGTCAAATGTCCTGTGATCATTCAAGAGCTCATGTCGCTTCTTTGAAGGTGGGGTGTGTCTCCCACGCATCACCCTATGTCCTGATCACATCCCAATGCAGGTTAGTCCATTCTGCTGCCTTAAATTCCCTCGGTCTACAGGAATCCTTTTTCCCCTGCCCTAAAAGGTTGTGTAGTGTTGCTGTGCAGCTACCTTACTTGTTGCTCCTCCCAAAAGGTGGCTGCACCCCGTGCAAGTGAAGTAATTCCTGTGGTCTGTAAAGTACTTTGGATTCCTCTAGAGTGGCATATGCTTTAAAATTGACGGTGTTAATACACGATTATTTTTATTATTATTGCTGTTAGGAAGGTTACTGAAGCTCCTGGGGGTTACGTTTTGTGGTTGCTCACTCCTCTTTTGGTGTGTCACTGAGGCTGCTCGCCTCTCTCTCCCTCTCACTATTTCATGCTCTTGGCTTTGCTAGCCGGATTTGGGTGCCCCAGCCTCTTTCAGCAGCTCCTGCCTTCCCATCTATGCAATCCCTATGAAATAGAGGGCTGTATTGAGGCCCGGCTCACTGATGAAAATAGGGCTAACGGGGAAAGGAGATGGGGGGAAGGAGAAGATTCAGACAGCCACCAGGTGGAGAGGAACTGTGCAGTTAGGGCAAAGGGTAGGAAGCCAGAGGCACCTGAAGACAGTGGAGATGTCGCATCACACCATGCGCAGCCCTACTGAGGCCCAAAATAAAAGCCAGCCATCTTGCTGACAGCCTGTTGCTGCAGCTGAGGGAAGGAGTGAAGCAGGAGCCCTTCACTCCTATGCAGTGGAGCCCTGCACCTCTCCCACCACAGTGGGTCTGGATGGGGACTGACCCCTCTCTGTAGGTGTGCAATGTTGCCACCAAACATTGTGTCTACCCCCAAAACTGATCACAATGAACAAGTCTGTTTCCATGGAAACCATAGAGTGACTCAGGACTTTGGGACCAGCTTGGATCATGATTGCGAATATCCAATGCTCAGGGAGATGTAGGGTCCTGTAGTCTGAGAATGAAAGGGACAGCGGCATATGAACTGCAGTGCCGACACACCCCTGGCAGGCAGTTACGTACACACACTTACACAGATACACAGGGAGGTGCACACGCACAACCATATAAAATCCACTCCACCAGTCTACAGCCACGAGCCAAACCCCTTCCTCTGACACTAGCGTTACTGCAGCAGCTGGGAGTCATTAGTGCAGTAGGCTTCTCTGGGGGCACGCACCCAAAAACCCAGACCCACCCCAAGGCCTAGCCACACTTGTGCACAGGGGCCACACCCACCCGTACCAACCATTATGCCCTTGCTGCAGTTCCCTTTCCCTTTACACAGTCTTAGCCCAGCTGCCCTACCCCTGACCCTGTAACTAAGAATAATTCAGTAGCACTGTCTCATCATAGCACCTTCCATCCCTGGAGCCCAACACTCTCTCCAGGCAGGGTGGAGTGTTACTATCCCTATTTTGCAGAGAGGGAAGCAGAGACATGGAGAGACCAGTAGTGCCTCTTCGTGGCGCTGGCCAGTTAACGGGCCAGCAGGGCTCTCACTTCGCAGGGCTGTTTCAGTAGGAGCTCACCGCTCAGCCACAGCAATTAAGTTGTAAGATTGCAAAACAAAGACCAGCAGGGACCAGCAGTCTCTGGTTCTGCTGCTTCTCGACACCCCATGGTTGAAGAATGACTTTGTTTCTTAAAACAAACTGTTGAGGCCATTCAGACAGGGGAGACGGGGTCTTGATGGGGTTTAATTCTGAGCACCAGGCTCAGCCACGGTGCCTTAGTCAGATTTGAGTCTCTGGAAATCTGTAGGGCCATTGGGGTGACATATGGCCACCTGGGACAGCTCTGCTGGAGCTGTTAGTATCTCCCTCTACAAGCTGTGCCCCACACTGCTCTGCAGGAGCAAAGGGGGCTCAAACTGGGAAAGCTGGTCTTAAAATAACAGGAAGGAGCCATTTCCTACCCACCCCTTACTGGTGGCAGACATCCACCTCTAGGCACTGCAGGGGACCCAAGCATGTGCAGTATCTGTCCCAGCACCTAGGCACAGCAAGACCAGTCAAGATGGAAGTGGGGAGGCGACCCATATTGCCATGGAGTAGTCTTGCCTCTTCTTTAGTCCCATAGGAATACAGCTTCTCTACAAATCCCAGCAGGGTCAACGCACCCTTCACTTTCCTGAAGTGCTAAGGTGAGCACCATGCAGTCCCCTGGGTGCGGGCCCTTCAGATGGGACCTTAAAAGCTGAGCACCTGTCTATTCCGTGTGAAAGATTCCACGGCACCTTTCCTAAGGGTAGGGCGTCCTTGCTCTAAACCTTCCTTACTCTTACGTGGTGCATTGTTCATCCACCAAGCTGCCTCCTCCACCCCAGAGGTGGCTGTGGGATCCTTTAGGATGAAAGGCACCATCAGAATGTACAGTAGGACAATGTGCCCTCCCCCCCCTTGAAATCCTCCATGGTGGTTTCTGACTGTAATGAATTTTTTTTTTAAGAGCCATATTTTTCCTGGCACAGGCATTTTGAGCTAATTAATTGTTGGCAACAAACTCCAGCCTCAACCAACCCAAACGTTTTCCTATCACAACAATCAACCTGTATCTAGTTAAACCTCTGCACAGCATCTGCCTTTCAGTCTGTAACTGTCTGGCTATGCCTGGTACAGCTTCTCCTGGCTTCCAGCTTTCTCTGAACTGTCCTCCAGCCCATTCTATAGATTCACACCAGGAGCTTCTCTGGCTATTTGAAAGCTCATTATAACCTCTTTACAGCAATGCCCTCTTTCTATCTGTCTGTCCCATGACCAATTTGTTCATAGGGGCATGCGTTCATCATATTTCAATGGGTGGTGCTTTTATCCCAGCAGTTCTCATCTCCTCCTTGGGACCCCCATGAGGTAAGAAAGCAGCATTGTCCCCATTTTACAGATGGGAAACTGAGGCATAAAGAGTCTAAGTGACTTGCCTAAGCTCACACAGGGAGTTTCAGGGCATAGCAGGGACTAGAACCTGGAACTCCACTGAGCCGTCCCTCCTCCCCCTGCTTCCCCTTTTCAACAAATATTTGGGTCCTTCAAAAGCCCAACCCCTTAACTATTCAGCATTCCTGTACGGAATCTCCATTTTAAAAAGTCCCTCAGTTTACACTAGGCTGGGTATTGGTGAGAGCTTTTCCCTCAACCTCCTTGTCCCTCACCTGTTTCAGGTAGTTCAGACCAGCTTGGGACTAAAGGATGCTCCTGCATCCAGTTATATAAGCAACTGATTGTTTCTAGCCTCTAAAGTCCTTCCAAGAACTACAAATACCCAAGCAAACCAGACACAGCTGCACAAAGGGACAGGGAGTCTGGCCTCCTTGTGGTATTAGGGAAACTATTCCAAGCAATGGCGATCATTTATAAAGAAAAGGAAGTCTTCACCGAGGCTTGTTTCTATCGCCAGGTTTTGATCAAGAGGTTGTTAAAACCCACTTGTAATTGCTTCCCCTTTTGCCCCAGAGGGAGCTCCTAAGGGTTAATATCCCAGGACTGGTGCCAGTGTGGACCTGTGAATAGAGGAAATCCAAATCCGGCAGGAGAAGGGTCTGTGCAGAGAGAACAAAGGTCTGAGAAATAGGAATGGCTGGAGAGATGACTCCGCCTAGGCACTCCAAGTGATTTTTCATTACCCTGGAAAGTTGTGGCAGGTAATGCTAAGGAAAAGGTTGCAAGAGCGGGAGAGTAGATAAACAGCGGACACCCCATGACCTTTGGGGCAGGTAGGAAGAAGGAAGTAGCCAATGGGGCATTCCCATGGAACCCTGCCCAGTGCTTGGTATGGCTGGGGAATAGGAAATCTTCCTACCCTGCTGCCCCATGCCTTTACTCTGGGGAAGAAACAGCACAGCTCAAGTGCCCAGGATTTCTGCACAAGAAAGAAATCCGCTCCATGGGACTCTGAAGTCTTCTGCCCTGTGTGACCTCAATGCAACCTCCCAGCTCAGCACAAGGCAGGCACTTACTAGCATTTTGGTACCGTTGCTAGCATTAAGGGTGATAAGTAAAGCGCCCCCGCCCCACCCTCTAAGCACCCATCACTGAGCCGCCTCACTGCCCTGAGTGGGAACCATCCACCATACACTGATGCCACCCTTTTAAATTGGTATCATCCCCATTCCTCTCCCCTCAATGGGAATTGCCTCCCCATCCCTTTGCTAAGGGATTTCTTCCTCCGAAATACCTGGCCATGGCCTGTGACAGGCTACTGGCTGGCTGGACACCCTGGTCTGAGCCAGCACAGCAAAGCCCATGTTCAAGTGCAGTTTCCCTCTTGCAAAAATGGGGATCAGCCCTTGCCTCCCCCCCCCCAGTACGGGGGCTCAGCTCTCACACCCTACACACTGCCCCCCAAAATGGGGGCTCAGTCTTGGCCCCCATGCACTGGCCTCCCAAATAGGAGTCGCCCCCACCCACCGTTGCTGGCTCTCCTGGGAGGAGCAGCCGGTGAGCTCTGCTCAGCTGCCCGGGAAGGAGGGGGTCGCACATCCGTGCCCAGCCCGCCCCCGCAGGAGCCGGAGCGGCCGGGTTCGCCCCCATCCACCTACCTGGGGATGAAGTGCGGAGCCGCTCCGGGCGCAGCGGCAGGAACTCCCGGCAGCTCATTGAGCCAGGGCGGCTGCTGGCCCCGTCCTCCAGCCGCAGTTCAGGCTCCCTCCGTCCCGGCGAGCAGCAGCGGCGGCAGCATCCTTCCTGGCGGGCTGAGCCCTCACTGGCCACCCTGCATGGCCCAGGGGGCAGGCTCAGGCGGGAGAGCCCCGCAGGCTCGGCTCCGGGGGTCCCTGCTGCCCTGCCCCCTCCTGCTGCAGCCAAGGGGAACAGCTTCTACAGAGCCGGGCACAAGTTGCCCCCCTTCCCTGGCTGCTCTGGGGCGGACCAGCCTCCCCCGGTCACTGAGAGAGAGAGCGAGAGAACCAGGCACCTGGGGGGCGCTTCAGCAGGGGCTGCAATGGGGACTCATGCCTGTAACAAGCAAGATAAATCCTACTGCTGCCTGCGCGGAGACCCCAGGGAAAGCGGCAAACAAGGCATGGGGTGCAGGTCCCACTGTCCACGCCCCTCCAGCTCAGCTCCCTCCTGCCCCCCTTGCAGCCCCTGAGTCCCTCTTCCAGCACAGCAGAGTCCAGGATGTGAGAGCAGAGCCTCTCTCTCTTTTCCTCCTTGCACAGCTTTTCTCAGGCTGGCAGCTGCTCTGGGCTTGAGCTACAACTGCACAACAAGCAGCCTGCTCAGCAGAGCCAAATATGCAGCCAGCCCCCCTGTCTCACTCTGTCATCATCCCCACCCCTCTCTAGGGTTAGTGCACAGCCCATGCTCTGCACTGCCTCAGTAGGTGAAACATCCCCGTTCCAAAGCTCTAGTCTGGCTTCCTTCCTTCTACTTTCAATGGAGATTGGCAGCAGGAGAGCCAGACGAATCTGCCCAGGGTAAGTCAGTGGCACTAGACCTCAGCATTAGCTGCTTTGTTCTGCCCAACCAGCAGAGAACTTTTGTGCTTCCAGATAAGTCTTCTCTCCATCTTAAAGGGGCCAGCCCACTAAAGATCTTCACGCTCCGTTTATATAAAAATCACTCATTGCTGTTTCTGGACAGGAGCGAACTAAATGAGGAAAGCCCCTCCTAGGTGCGGGGTTGGGAGAACAGTAACCTGGCCCTGCTTTCAAGCAGAGGCAGCCAACAAGACAGACTAGGTTGTGAATTTGTGATGTGAACGAACATCCATTAGGGGTTAAGCTGAGACTCACTCTGGTCTCCAACTGTGAACTGACAGAGCATCATTTTGCCGTGCCACTTGCTTGCCTCAGGCCAGATTGCTGGCTTCTGAATGGCTGATGAGGCCTGGTTTTAATTTTTTAAAATTTTATTTTGTTACAATTACCTGTGTTAGGAATGCCTCGGGTTCTATGACTCCAGGGATCTTAGTAGCTGTGCTGCAGCTAGGGATCAGTAGTCTGAGAAGAGACTTATAGAATCATTTAAAATGAAAGAATAATTAAAAATCAGACAGAAAGATGCCATCATGACAGTCTAAGGGGCCCAGAGTGAGGGTCAGGAAATGCACCTCCCATTTGAATGCAAGGGAAAGTAGGGACTTTCAAAGCTGCTCTAAGTCCCATTTTGCTTTTTTACAGTATTTTTGGTTTATTTCAAAGTGTCCCAACTAAATTACCTGAAATAGGTTAGAAGTTTCCTTCCAACAACTTTGAATGTTTCCTTTTTGCCATGCATTGCTGAGCTGCAGTTTCTGTGTCCTAACCTACATTGTCAGATCAGGCCTAATTTTAAATGGCAACTTCCAGTGGGGCGCTGTTTATCATTCTGGAGTCAGTAAGGTGGACGTTCCTTTTTTTTATGTATCCCATCTTATTTAGTATTTGTTTAATGGATGGTCCGAGATGTTTATAAAGAATCACAGCAGTTTTCCTTTAACACTAATTTTAGAAATACTCAACTCCTAACGACACTCAGGTTTGTTGGAAGCTGTCTCTCCAGTTCTGGGATTGCTAAATTTCCACCTCAAACTCTAGAATTCACAAAATGTAACTAAGGATTCATGGTCTTTGAATGTTAATAAGAAGCTCAGAAACGCCCCGTTCCCTTTAGCAGCCTGCAGAGTGGTAACCAGTGGAAGGAGGAACAGCAGATTCTAAGTCCATTCTCAGAAATTGTATCAATAAAAAGAAACATTCCTGGAAGTGCTGGAATTCTAACATTCCAGAGGCGCAATGCGGAATTCAAGGTTACCAGGCTCTTATTTCAAGTCCCATGAACCATAATTTGAGAATATCAGGATCTTCACCTTTCAGGATCTAATTTCTAACTTCGGGAAGATCTGGGTCTTAAAGCTGATCTCTAAAGTTCTCTAACCTTTTGTTCCTATTTTTTTGAAATATCACATCAATACTAATCCTCTTAATCTAACTGCAGAAAACTTTGGAAGGGGACTATGTCCTCATTCTTGCAGTGGCTGGACATCCAATGACCACTTCACAGGGTTGGTTTGTTTGTTGTGAAATTACTGCTTTTTAATATCCCACCTCTGTCCATAGCAGCAGCATCTAGTGCCATTCATGTCATTTATTACATCATCCACTGTTAGATTGTTGGCCTCTTGTTTGATTTAAGGTCTCCCCACCTCCTTCTCTCATTTACCTGGATCTCAGCGAGGTCACTTACAAGATAACACCAGTAGCTATGTTCACAACTCCTGTCTTCCCTGAACTTCACCCCAGCTCCTAGAAACACCAGTACTTCTGGCTACTTCTGGAAACAAGAAAACAATATTGGGACAATAGACCTAGGCACGTCATTGTCTCAGATAAAAATACTCCAACTGAGGTAGGAGGAGGTCTGCATGCTCCCCTAGGATTTCCACAGTGCTATCAAGCACTGACTCAGGACCCAGTGACTAAAGCTTTCCCTTTTGACATCCATGCTATGCAGACACCTGAGCAAGAGACAATGCCAGCCCTAGCTGGGAAACCTACTTGAGCCAGTGTAGTTACCTGATACATGCACTGTGCTGTGGAAAGACACAAATCTCTCCATAGCTAAAGTTGAAACAAACCTGTTGCTGTAAAGCCAGTTTTGACCTACCACCTCTTCTGAACCAAAATGAAAACAAGCCACCTGACACTACACAAATTCATTCCTGTGACAGGACAGAATTTTTCTGAAGGTCTGAGGCAAATTGGTCTTTGGGAGAGTGAGGATTTAAAACTGAGATGATCTTTCTTGGATCTGTTTCTATTTTCTTAAGCTCATTTAAACTCAGTTATTTGGCCCATTAGCTCCACATTTGGTTAGTCAGTTGACCTCAGCAAGGACTGGTAGCTTTTGCTAGTTCGGGAGAGTTTTGTGGAACAATGTTATGAAGGACATTGCTGTGTGATGAACACCCTGCTAGGTTTATGAACACCACAGAATATTTTTTCTGAATGTCACGCACCACTCCCCCCCCTGCACCAAAGCAGGCAGCCACCATGGCCATGTCTGCATAGATATTATAGGCATGTTTAATCTCCATTGTTCCTTCTAACTTAACATGCCCTGTGTCTGAACACAACAGTGCCTTAGTGGTGGTGAGGACATGCTACACGTTGTGTCAGGTGCTCCAGGGCTGAGGCTCAGTTGTGCCGGCTCAGTTGTGCTGAGGCCCATGTGAATGGAGGTCACAGCAAACAATGTGACATAGTCCTTCACAGGCTCTCCCACGGTACTTTCACGCTGCAAAAATGCCCTCTGTGTGGATCTCCTTAACCTCCTCTGTCCAGGGATCAGTCCAGCCAGACAACTGTATACACGCCCCCAGCACAACCACATGGGCCCCAGCTGTGAGCTGCTTCCACAACAACCATCTGCTTTTGATGACTGCTCAGTAAACTGTTCCTGATCCATCTGAGCCACATCTGATCCGTCTCTACCACATATAGCACAACTCTATTGTACAAACCTATAGCTGCTATGGTATAGATCAGTACTACATAGCTCTGTACAGACCAGCTGTATTTCACAGATCTACAACAGATGTATATATTAGTGGTATATTAAAGATATAAATTCTACATCTACAGTGTCTGATGGAGAGGAGCTATGAGCAGGCTTCCAGCTGGCCTGTGGCCACATCAGGTCTCCAGTTGCCTTTTGGGCCAAGACATTGGAAGTGCAGGAACCAAAAGATCTATGGCAGAATTTCAAGGCATCTTGCCAAGCTGGGCATTAACTAGACCAGGAACTGGTGCCAGAAGAAAATCCAGGGTCTGAAGGCAGCCACTGATGATAATAGAAGTCTGGGAGGGCACCCGTATATTATCCATTCTTTGGAGAAGCAGCCAATACCCTAACTAGAGGATGCCCAAGTATGAGAGCAAAAGACTTAATGGACACCTCCACAGTACTCTGCATCAATATGGCTAGGCAGGACAGTAACCGTGAGCCTGGTGAGTCCCAGACCACCTGCTCTGATGAGTCCCAGCCTTCTGAGACCCTGGAAGCTGAAGAACTTGAGTCTCAGGACCTGTTTAGGGGTCTCTAATCTCTGGGAGGTGTAAAGAGCTAAGATAACCTCTCCATGAAGCTGTCTGCCTCTCTTGGTGGAGAGGTGTGGAATACAGCATTGGAATATGAATGTGTAAAATAGAAGTATCCATTTTCCCCTGTCCTGTGTAGAAAATATTTTGGATTATGTTTCCATGGCCACTAACAGGACACTCTGGCTTTTCCTTTTACTTCCAATGCTGGTTCCAGCCTCCTTCAAAAAGAGCCAGGCCATCACTAGCCAGGTTTGTCAACCTTCAGTCTGGGAGAAAAAGACCAATAAAGGAGGACATGCTTCTGGACCTTCAGAGGGACATTGGCCAGAAATATGACTATTGCCATCAGCTGGAATTGAAAACAATGAGGCTGCAGGCTGAACCCCAACAGGAAAACAAGGAGGCCATCGCTGAATGCACTCAGTATGATGGGAATATGCTAAAGGAAGACCAGGAACTCCAGAGACAAATGTTCTGATCTTCAAAATCTTCAAGCACTGCTCTCTCTGCTATACGTGGTCTACCTTAATCTGTTGCCTCTCCAGAACACTACCATGTGCTCCAGAATATGCAGATCTCTAGTAGTTGGGGTGAACACCTCAGCAATAGCAACCTGTCTCAACCTTACCTTTTGCACCCTACTCAATGTACAGAAGAGGTGAAGAGAACAAAGATGCAGTCCACTACTTCTGGGATCTTGCACAGTGGATCGTGTCCCAGAATTCTGAACTTGCTGTACGTATTTTAGGGCAAGCACACTCTATTATACAAAGTTATAACATTATATAGTTTATTTACAAGCTTATGAGAGTTAATATTTCACTTGTAATATAGAATTTACACACATTTGATACTGAGCTGTTACGAAGTCATAAAGGCCTGCTGTTTGTTACAGAGTTGAGAAAGGTAGTATTTCCCTTTTTACTCCAGGAATTGCGTACCTCAACTAATGCTGTCAAGGTCCCAAGCAAGAGCAGGGTAAGTAATCAGTTAGTGTGTAATAAGACTGTAAGCAGTGTCAGGATGAGCTCCACCCTGACATCTGGTGGTGAGGTGTGGCAAGTTGTGGAAAAGAACTTCAGGGGCTGATCTCATTTGCATAGGCACACCCACTCCGCCTAGAATGAGACCATAGCTGCCCAAATGGTCACTTTGGCTGCTGTGGGATCCCCAGTGTCTCTGTTATTGGGGCAGGAAGAATAAATTGTTATTACCCTGATTATGGGAACTGTGCTTGGAACTGTACGTGGCCTTTTGTTATGATGGAGGGATTCACCATCAACTAAGTAGCACTCGCTAGGCAAGGGTCATGGGTTCCAAAACTCTGTGAATGGAGAGAGGCTGGGGACAAGTATTAATACTTGGTGGCATGGGCCTTACATGCTAATTGCACTTCCTCCTCTCTCCACTGTGGAATATCAGAACTAATTTTGATTTCATTAGAAGTCTAG